CTGATTCTACACTGGTGTATGAGCAATGAAGAAAACAGAGATAGATGCAAATGTGTTTAACATACAGTAAAGTCAACATCTCCAAACATAAAGCTTAAAGCTCATTCAAGAAAAAATGTTCACAAAACAATGTTCAGACGGTGCAACTTTCTTCTGCTGTGGAATTATGCTTGAATCCTGTCAAGTTCCTTTCTGCCTACCTTTTGGTGACACTTCACAAATAAAGTTGAATTTCTCATCGCATACTTCACTACTCAGTTGTCCTGTACCACCTAACAGAATGCCACAATCTTTCCTCTGAGCTGGTTCCCCTGGTACCCATAGAGTTGACTGCCAGTCACTGGTATCGCTGCAATCTACCCAGCGCCAAGTACCCTCCACAGATACATCATAGTAACCTACAGGAAAGCAATTTTGTGTCACAGGATTTTTTTGAAAATCAAATTTCATTAAGGACCAATGTTAATCGTGTGGTCTTTTTGCTTTAACCTAATTCCTAGTGTGTGTTATTTTTGGTTTGACCCAACTCAATTAATGCTTGGCAGGAAAGATTTGTGAATAATTTTAAACTTTTTAGTATTGGATTTTGTCGGTCAAACCAAGCAAGTGGAAAAATGCCAAGTCAAATTACAATCATATTCCACAACAAAAAGCAAATCCTTTCAACCTACCAATCCACCATGTTTGACCAGGTGCTAGTGTTTCTGTCTGGTTCAAGATGTAATTCAATTCCTCCTGATTGTTAATGATCAACAAATCGCTGCCTCTATCTTGACAGGCTCCTCGACGGTAAATCCACCAAGATGTATCGTTGACATCATGATAGAACCAGTAACATGAGCCATTGGGTCCTGGTAGATGCCACTCTGGGCATGAACCTGGTAAATGTCAAATAAAAATAACAACACCATTTAGGAAGTATCCAAACAAATACATGCAAGTCTGTTGAAAGAAAACTTCATGCTAAGATATGGAGCAAAAAAAAATCTGAAATATAAAAAGGAAATAAACAAGAACTTTGGCTTCATTATTTGCCTCAATTTCTATTTTAAAATCAATATCTTTCATTCTCTGACGACTAAGACTAAGTTTGCATTAACTTATTTACACCTGCTTAAATACCCTGCAGAAAACAAACCATTTCAAGATGAATTTACACTGGTGAACAATAGCAACCTTGTAAAAGGACAAATGTAAGTTTTGCGATTACCTAGCCATATTTCAGCGGGGCCAACTTTATCCAACTCCTGCTCTATGTTCATTCCAGCAACATAGATTTGCCACCAAACATTTGTTGTTAGAGAGGAAAGAATAACTTCAGTGGCGTTGCCATCATAGACTTGAACAGAACCTGAAAGCCAGAAAAACACAGCTCATTGGTCATTTAGGACTACATCTGAATATTGAGGAATCTCTGTACTCGTCTGAGAAAGTAAAAATAGCAAATGGATTTAGGAACAAGCTTAGAGAAAGAGTTGCTTAGGTAGGAATGTACATGGACACAAAATATTCCCTCAAAGGTTTTTTGAAGGGGAACAAGAAACGGTCTAGACTTTATTTACAATTAGTTGTCAAGAGTTGTCACAAGAGTTACAAGCTAAGCATATTCCAGGTAAACATGTTTTGCTTAGTTTTCTTAAAACAGTGTGTGTAGCTAATCTGGACCATTCAAACTACAGTTGTTTCACATTGATAAAATAGATTCATTTGATAGTCATTAAAGCATGCATAAAATTCCATCCTGAATGATCTGCCAAATAATTCCTTCAATGCTCACAGTTATTGTTT